AGGGGCCTTGGGGTCGACCTCTGTCCCCCTGCCAATACAGACTGCGTACGGTCGGTGAGGAAGGAGGAGAACCACCGCATCACAGTGCCTCCCACTCCCAACCCACCCAAACGCCGCAGCATGATGCTGTGGTCCACAGTATCAAAAGCCGCTGAGAGGTCCAAAAGAACTAGGACAGAGGAATGACCCCTGTCCCGGGTCCTCCAGAGATCATTCATGTTAATTTTTTCAAAATCTCTTAATCGCCCTTTGTTACCTCCGGCCGTCCTTTCTCCAGTCCTTTCTCTAGTTTCAATCACTACTTCTTGCAGCTCTTAAATTCTGGTCTTTCACGTTTTATAAACTTTACTGTAGGCTCTCTGCTTCTTCTCGCTGCTCTCGTTCTGCTCTATCGCTCCCTTCTCCGCTCTATTCCATTTCAGTTGCTGCTGTGTCTCTCTCCTTATCGCTTTGCTTCTTCCACGCCTTCTCTCCGCCAAATATTCCTCACCTCCTTCAGGGGTTTTCCTCGTCTCCCGTACAAAGCTGTCAGTTCTACTTTTCGCTTCCCTCTCAGACTGCCGCCATCGCTCCAGGCCGGCCTTAGACACCGTCTTCTTCTCCGCCAATTTTAAAAGTGCTGCTCCTGTCTGCTTGGGTGTTTGCTTTCCACACGGCTTCTCTGAAGCTTCCTCTTTAATTTACCAATCTCTCCGGGATCGGTAAAGCCCTTGCCGGGCTCTTAGCGAAGATTTTTCGGGATTTAGGAACAGAGGTCTGTTCCTTCACCCACTCCACGATGACGTCACAGCCGGAAGTCCGACCTTTGGATTATTTATGGTGACAGAACTGCAGGAACAAAAGTGAAATTGGGATACAGAATGGTGTAAGGGTCAAGAAAGAATGAGGTATAAAGGTCTGAAGAGCTTTGAAAAGAAAACTTGGAGTAGACAGGAAGATTATGGAGGGTGTTATGGAATGTTACGATGAAAGCCATAAGAAATATGAGTAATTATGCTGGCAGCAGAATACACTACTAGATAGATGTAATGGAATCAAGGTGACACATTGGCAGTTAGTAAATATATGACAACGATTTTATCTGTGATGCAAAAGGCAATAATGTCAAAATGACAAAGAGTGCAGAGTGATATT